CTAGGCTGTCTTGGCCTAGTGGCATTGTCACCCGCACTTCCAGCCCTTGAATTGAGTTTGATTCCCCTATCCCTAATTTGTAATTCGATTTTTTTTTTATATATATATTTTAAAACTTGGTTATTTAGACGTAGATAATTTAATTTTCCTTATATAGAAAGTATAATTTTATTAATAATTAAAAATAATTATAATGCAAATTACATCTTGTCATATAAGCTATGCAGCAAATATAAATAATTTAGGAAGGACTTATGATATTAATATATAGAGTTAAGTATTTCTTACAAATAAGATAATTAAGAATTGAGAACTTCTAAATACTAGTATACGTAAAAAGGATATCAATAGAGTTATGTAACAACATAGAAATATTATGCTGGAGCTTACTATTACTAACATACTATTCTTGTTAGTAATCACATCTATTTTACTTTCCAAACCTAGCATGAGAGATTAAAGGACTTGGCAACGTAATGTCTCCCAGCACCACAATGCTTTGCCCAAACCTAAGTGGTCTTTTAGCTAGCAAACAAATTAAAGAAAATATTTGCTTGCATTGCAAGTGCAGTCCCTGAGTTGTTAAGCAAAACCTTTGATGCTCTTTCGTACTCCACTCTTTGCTGCATATTTTTCCTTTTCCCCCTTATTTCTTTCTCTAAGCTATGGGTAAATGCAAGGTTCCTATCAATTCTTTTCCAACTTCCACAACTTGAAGCTAGAAGATGTTGTAACTTGCCAAACTAGTATCTCTAGAAGCTGGAGTTCAGGAGCATGGTCCACATTCTTAGCCATTTGTTCTACAAGTCTATTCTCCTTCATAGTGTCCTTCTTTACTTCTTGGTTTTGAGAAACCTAAGGAGAAAGTGCTTTACTTAACTCCTCCCTCATTGTCAACCTTTTGTTTTCTACCTTATTAGTCCAAGCTTCTAATTCTCTGCTTATTTTATTTATTTCATTCGAAAGCTCCAAGTTTTCCAAATCCTCCAAACCTCAACCATCAACTTCTGCTCTTAGTCATGGTCCATAAAACTTAGTTATTTTGTGGTTAGCCTCCTTTATACGGAAACCAATATCACAATCTACTTCAATATGCCCAATGCAACCACAAACATAACAAAACTTCAAAAGTCACTCATACTTAATTCTTACCTTTTTTTTGTCTCAGTTTTAGTCATCCTGATTGTTGAGGACTTCATAGAGGCTTACCCATTGGAAGATTAACTCGAACTAGAAGAGATTTTCCATAATTCTCATCTATCGCAAGAACCATTTCAACTGAACTACCTACAAGTCTACCCACCCTCTTTGATCTCAATTTGATCGGCAATATGTGAAGGTGAATCTAGAATGGATTGGTATTGAAATCATGCTATTCCAACTCAAGAGTTGCTAAAACCTTCTTTAGGGTGTGTTTGGGATTGCGGTTGGAAACTTTTTTTTTTTTTTTAGCTGTATAGTACTTTTAGATAAATGTGTGTTTAGTAATTTTTTTTCAAATAACTTTTTCTAAAAGCTGTAGAAAACCATAGTAAATCTATGGCAATTTTATATATAAAGCTAAAAGTCTCGTTGTGAAGCTTTTGGCTATGGCTTTCGCAAAAAATACTTAATATTTAATACAATTACAAAATTATCTATTAAACCAAATCTTGTTTAATTTAGTTACATCATAGTTTATAACATTTTATTTAAATTTAACCTTTTGTTTATTTGAAGATTTTATAAAAAAATTAAAAACTCATTATCTTTTTATGAGTTGCTTTATGAGTTGCTTTTCTATGAAATTGAAAAAAACATTGATCATAAAAAATTTAAAATAATATTATTAAAAAATAAATAACCAAATACTAAAATAACTTTTAATCACAACTATAACACAGTACAACACAATTTAGCATAACCATAGTTATAGTTACAATTGCAGTCACAGCACCTCACAACAATTCCAAACGCACCTTTAGAATAGCAAGGGAGTTGCTAAAGTTCCATGGTGCTTTTTATAAAACCCTGTCTAGATCAAATCTATTGGAAAATTAAAATAAGAAAAATCTCTCCAACACCAATGATTTCACTTCATGCGTTAGTTTCTGTTGGAATAGGCCCAACATTCAGTTTGGGCTGTACATGATGGGCCTAGACTACCGCCCATCAACCCAAAGTGAGGAAGCACCAGTACAACAAATACAAGCATACCCATATGGGTAGCACCATATGGGCCAATGAGATGTTTACATGTGCAGACGCATGTCAGAATTTGGGGGCTATAAATACCCCCCAACTACCTCCGATGAAGGTCATTAACCCTTCTACGTCTCTCTCTTTGCAATTACTCTTTGAGAGCATCTCTCTCTAAAATATTGAGTATTGCTGACTTAAGCGTCAGAGTGTTTTCCTTGAGGAAGCACCCTCGGGAATTTCAGGTGTGGAAGCAGTTGAGGACATCAACAGTGTTGGATCACGAAGCTGCCCAAACATTTGGCACCGTTTGTGGGAAACAACAAGAAGTCATGTAGCTTAACCTGTTGAAAGACAAAATGGTTCGTACCTTTACTGGAAGTCGCCCTCCAAGAAATGAAATGGATGAGCAGGAGGACACTTAGCTATCTAAGTTCGGCTTGAATGATTTTAGGCCAATGCCGAGAAACCTTTTTGTTGGAGGAGTAGAACAGGATCAACTAAGTGGAACAGATGATGATGAAAGAACACCAACTGGGTATGCAACTCAGCCTGAACAATTCCAAATTCCAACAGGAGCAAGGCATAGACATCCCAGGCAAGGCAATTCACAGCATGAACGACCTGAAAGGTCAACAGAGCCTGCTCAAACAACTGAGCTCTAAGAGAGAACTAGAGTTCTCGAAATGGCAATGGGTAAAATCCTTGCCCGCCTGATCCTTGATAACCCCCAAATTTCTTTGCTGAATAGGGATGCACAGCCAGTTGCGGTAGTTGCAACTCGTAACTCTCCCGCTCTGAGCAACATAATAGTGCCAACCAAACCACGGGGAAGTGGGAAGTTAAATAACGAGCCAAGCTCATCCAAACATAGTGAAGAACTGATGAAAAAAAATGCAGACCTCGAAAGGCAGCTATAGGAGGTACAGAAATCCATTGACGAGCTGAAAAGCCCCAGGTCGCACCAACAGATCCTTGACTTGGATAGTGCCCCACTTAACCTATCAATCACAGCAAAATCGTATCAAGAGGGATTCAAAATCCCTCACCTAGAGACATATGATGGTTCGGGCGACCCAGATGAACATCTGCATACCTATCAGGCCATCATGAGAATCCAAAATGCCAATGACGCCATGATGTGCAAAGTGTTTCCAGCGACACTGAAGTCGATGGCCAAAAGATGGTATCATAAACTCCCTAAACATTCCATAGATTCGTACTCCCATCTTGCCAAGCTATTCTCCAACAAATTTGCGAGCCAAAGAGAAATTAAGCGTATAGCAACCGAATTGATGCAAGTTCATCAAAAAGAAGGGGAATCCCTGAGGGACTACATGCAACAATTTAACAAGGCCACTTTAGACATTGATAATGTCCCCGATACTATCTACCTATCTGCCTTGTTGCATGGTCTAAAATGTGGTTGGTTCCTAGACGACCTACTAGAAAACCCACCGAAGATGTGGAACGAAGTAAATGACAGGTTAGCTATCTTCATACTGTCAGAAGACTTCCAATCGTCCAAACGACGAGCTGATGATAGACAAAACAAAAGCCACGAACAATCATATAGGTGAGAGGAAATGAAAAAATAGAAAGTTAACAAGCAGTGGGGAAAGCCATCTGACTTCTCAAAGTATGCTAACTACATTTCGTTAACCTCATCGAGGTCCCAATTCTTGGCACAAATCCAGCACTGGATCAGAAGACCACTCCCCCCACTGCATGATTCCCCAAGAGCAAATAAGAGTAAGCACTGTGACTACCATCGTGCCTACGACCACAATACAAAAGACTACTAACATTTAAAGGGCAAGTTGGAATTCTTGGCTCGCAATGGGAAGTTAGAAGGATATGTCCAGAAGCCTTATGCCTAGCAACCAACTCAAACTCACTTTGTGCAGGGGCATGACCGACCTCAAGGGCAGAGGTATTAGCTCAGCAGTACACTGGACATGTATCAGGATAACCAATATCCTTCTGAGCAGGGCAGAGCGTACAGGGGCCATCAATTCAATAGGTAAGGCCAAGGACAGAGAACTACCACCCAAAGCCAAAAAGATAGAAAAGGGGTAGGCTATGCTGGGATACCCCCGCCCTCTGGCACAATAAACATGATCTCGGGTGGTATACACTCAGGAGGTCAAAGCGCTCAGGGCCGTAAGGCATATGCCTGTCAGGTAATGACTGTTAATAAGAACAAGCCCTTGAAGCGGCCATTTGAGGAGGCAGAATGGGAGAATGTGCCCATTACATTCAGCGCGGCGGATTACAAGCGAGCAGACGGAGAGCCCGACGTTATGATGCCTCATGCAGATCCTTTTGTGGCAACGGTTCATATAGGCAACCATAACGTCAACAAGGTCTTTATCGATACTGGTAGCTCACCATATATCTTGTATTGGAGCTGCTTTCAGAAGATGCAGCTGAATCAAGCTCATTGCAGAAGTATGAAGAGCTCATATATGGGTTCAATAATCAGCCTGTCCTAGTTGAAGGAGTCATCACTCTTCCCATCTATGTGAGCTTAGAACAACGCTTCAGGATGGCTTCAGTCAGCTTTCTAGTCATCAAAATGGAATCAACTTTTAATGTCATACTAGGAAAGGCCACCCTCTGTGAGCTAAAGGCTGTCATCTCGCAACCTCATCTCTGTATAAAGTTCCCAACTCCTCAGGGGGTAGGAGTGTTTAAGGGGAACCAGAAGATGGCCAGAGCTTGCTATCAAGATATATTCAAGAAGGTTGAGCTCGCTGCAACCCCAAGAGGCTCTTCTAAAAGTCACAGGCTAACTCAGTTCGGTCAGCAGACAATGAGCATATCAGATATTGAGCACCGACCTAAGGGTGTTGAGCAGAACGCAGAGCCAGTAGAACCAGTGGAAACGGTCCCTTTGAACCCTGACATTCTAGAAAGAACGGTTAAGGTTGGCACTAAGCTCACAACAGAAGAACGAGCAGAGCTTCTGGAGTTTCTAAAGGTTAATCAAGATATGTTTGCGTGGATAACGGATGAAATGCCTGGCATCCCAGTGGAGTTTGCAGTCCACATGCTTAGCACGGACCCTACCAGAAGGCCGGTGGTTCAAAAACGTCACCTCTTTGGTCCTGAGAAGCAAGCTGCCATAGATGAAGAAATAAAAAAGCTACTGCAGGTAGGCTTCATTGGGAGAGTTGAATACTTTGAGTGGGTGTCTAACCCTGTGCTTGTCAAGAAACCGAATGGCAAGTGGAGGATGTATATTGATTTCACCAACTTAAATGAGGCGTGTCCGAAAGACCTTCACCCCTTGCCAAATGTTGAGAAGTTAGTAGAGCGAGTAGCCAGACATGAGCGAACGAGTTTCCTTGATGCTAGCTCGGGTTATCACCAGGTTCAGTTGCTATTGGACGACCAGGAGAAAACAACTTTTTATGTTGGTGACGCAATGTACTGCTATGTCATGATGCCATTTGGCCTGAAAAACGCTAGCGCGACGTATCAAAAGCTGGTGCAGGTCATCTTTAAGCTCCAGATCGGCAGGAATATTGAAGTATATGTGGACGACATGATAGTCACCAGTAAATGAGCTGAAGATCATATAGACGACTTGAATGAAACATTTCAGAACTTGTGCCGAGCCCAAATGAAGCTGAATCCCTTGAAATGCACGTTTGCTATAGAATCAGGAAAATTCCTAGGGTACGTGGTATCCAAGAAAGGAATTGAGGTAAATCCAGAGAAGGTTCAGGTCGTTCAGCAGATGGAGCCTCCCAAGACCATAAAAGATGTGCAGCGTCTGACAGGTCGTGTTGTTGCATTGCATAGGTTCATAGCTAGGTTGGCAGAAAGGTGCCTCCCATTCTTTAAAGCCTTGCGAGAGCCCAAGAACTTTCAGTGGACCGACGAGTGTTAGCAGGCGTTTGACGAGCTCAAACAATATCTGGTGTCAACACCCCTGCTTTCCAAGCTTGTACCGAGGGAGAGTTTGTACCTGTATCTAGGGGTTACAAAGGAGGCCGTGAGCTCGGTTTTGCTAAGAGAACAAAATAAACATCAGAAGCCCATTTGCTACGTGAGCAAGGTTTTACAGGACACAGAGCAGAACTACCCACTAGCAGAAAAGGCTGCTTTTGCCCTGGTCTACACGGCTCGTAAGTTGAGAGCTTACTTTCAATCACATCAAATTGTTGTCTATACCGATTTGCCGTTGAGGAAGATATTGCAGAAGCCGAAACTTTCTGGTCGGCTTATTGGGTGGACCATCGAGCTGAGTAAGTATGACCTCAAATTTCAGCCGCGCACAACTATAAAAGGCCAAGCTGTGGCAGACTTCCTAGTGGAGTGCCTTTCGACGACGGTGGAAGAAAGGGCATCAATATACCCGGTCTAGGTCTTGTACGTAAATGGAGCTACTAATATTGAAGGATCGGGTGCTGGGGCTGTATTAGTGGGTCTAGATGGCTTCAAATCCGAACATGCATTAAGGTTCAAGTTTCAAACAACAAACAATGCTGCAAAAGATGAAGCCCTCATTTATGGTTTGAAACTAACGTCCGAGCTAAAAGTTTAGAGCATAAAGATTTTTAGTGATTCTCAGCTCGTTGTGGGCCAAGTGAATTGCAGCTGTGAAATTAAGGATCCTCAGCTTGGTCGTTATGCCTCTGTGGTCAACAGATTGAAATCATGATTTGCCTTTTTCCAGATCGACAAGATACCCAGAGTAGATAACCAATGAGCTGATGAGCTATCAAAATTAGCCTCCTCGCAAGATATTAACCCTCAAAGATTAACAATTGTGGAGGTACTTGACGCCCCGAGCTACATCGATTTCATAATCAAGTGTCAACTGCTAAGCACAGATCCTTCTTCACCGAGTTGGACTACCCCGCTCATAAAGTATCTGCGAAGTGGCGAGCTGCCTGAAGACCCATCCATAACAAAGTTGATTAAACGCAGAGCGGCACATTTCACCCTGTTAGATAATCAGCTCTATAAGCGAGCAGTCTCAATGCCCCTACTACGCTGCCTTACTCTTTATGAAGCTGAATACGCTGTGAGGGAGGTTCATGAAGGAGTATGTGGCACACACATAGGTGGTAAAACATTGGCTCGGAAACTCCTGAGACATGGGTATTATTGGCTTACTATGGTCGAGGACGCACAGAACTATGTCAAAAAGTACCCGACCTGCCAGTTCAACGTCGATGACATTCACATACCAGGTATTTGAGCTCGTTCCAAAGTTCGTGCAAACTTCATGTTTGTCTATAAATTGAGCATGAGTATCTTTGTTGAAACAGGGGAAATGCTTTCATCACTCTCATCACCCTGACCTTTTGCTTAATGGGAAGTCGAACTGCTCAGCCCTTTTGTCAAAGGCAAAAGAGGATGCATTTACCTAGTTTTCACGGTGGATTACGTCACCAAATGGATAGAAGCCAAACCATTATCCACGACAACAGAGAAGAAAATAGAGGAATTCCTGTTCAATTCAATATTATGTAGGTATTCTTTGGTGGCTTAAGCCATTTGTACATTGTATACAAATATAATTTGTAGCTCAGCTCGGTCATTTGTATACAGGTTCGGCATACCTAAATGGATCATCGCTGACAATGGTTCACAGTTCTGAGCCGCGGCACTGAGGTCGTTCTGCAATGACTATGGCATTGAGCTCGCCTTGAGATCTGTATATGCTCCACAGTCAAATGGGCAAGCCAAGTCCGCCAATAAAATTGTCTTGTGAGGCCTCAAGACACGTGTTTTAGCCGCACATTCTAATTGGGTTGACGAGCTGAATAAAGTGCTTTGGTCTTGTCGCATTACACCCAGCTCGGCTACAGGTGAAACCCCATTCAGCCTCGCCTATGGAGCTGAGGCCGTTATCCCGTAGAGGTAGGATTGCCATTCGATAGATCAGATTGGCACGATGATCTTAACAATGAGCAACTTTTAAGAGAGAACCTAAACCTTGTAGAAGAGGTTAGGGAGATGTCTCGAATAAAAAACATGGCATATCAGGGTCGTGTTGCTAAATTTTATAATAAGAGAGTCCGAGCTCGTCAGTTTCAAGTTGGCGATCTGGTTTACGCAAAGCTGGATTAACCAATGCTTATTCGCACATGGGCAAGCTTACTCCTAATTGGGAAGGTACGTATATGGTTGTTCAAGTTAAACGACCTAGATCTTATGTGTTAGTAGACATGCAAGGATGCCAGTTACCATATATTTGGAATGTACATAATCTCAGAAAATTTTATAGTTAATGTATTTGTTAGTGAGGAATTTGTTCAAGGAAATGCAAACCATACATATAATACAATAAAGAAGAAACAGTTCGATAAAATCTCCAATTTTCTATTTCTGCTAAAAAATTACAAGTTTCAATACAAGAGATCATCATATAGTTTTTCAAGGAAAGAAACAAAAAATACAACAGAACAACAAAAAGTATAACCCTACACTAATCGTCTGTCAGGTCGACGAGCATGGATGCGTCAGCAGGAGGGCCTGATGCGTGAGCTGGAGATGGCCGGGCTGTAGGCTTGCAAGCTGGTGCAGTCACGGGAGACCCTGTTGGCACCACGGCTGGCTGAGAGTTGGGGGGGGTGTTCGATGGCTCTGATTCAGCCACCGGAGCCCCTTCCACCCATGCATCAAAGGAGGGCAGGCCCTCTAGATCCTCCCCTTCTTCTAGGACTGAGGGAGGCCAGACAGGTATTCCTTCCTCGTTGAGCTTCCATCTCAACCACACCATTGTTTCAATGAGGGGGAGCAAGGCTCTTACCCTGCTCGTCAAGGTCCTCCCAGTCAAAGAACACCGGCTCGCGTATAGGGAAGTCCGGACGATGCTGCAACACCTTCCCACGGATCTCGTTGTAGATTTCCATGGTCATGTTTGTAGACGCCACCGCCACAGCGTCTTGGAACGCGGCCAAGCCCACTAGCCATTATGCCCCTTAAGCGTGAGCGATGCTTATAGAGCGCCCTTGAGATGTCTTCACTTTGTTTAGGGCCTCTTTAGCTTCATTGAGGTTCTTGGTGGCCTCGGCGACTTGGTGCCTTAGGGAGCTCAGCTCGTTCACAGCATAGTCCCTCTCGGCCTCAGCTTTCTTGGCCCGTTCCTCAACCTAGGCGGCCTCGTCCTTCGTTGCTTGGATCCCACTTTCTTTCTCAACGTTGGCCTTCTCCAACTCCTCCCTGAGCTCATTATTCCTGCTTGCCAGCTCCTCTGCCCTACTTTCGGCCGAAGCAGCTCGGATGGCCATCTTAGAGCCTTGCAAATGATTGATGTCATCCACTAGGCTAGTCTTTTCCGCGGCCAGCTATTTGTAGTTGGCACTGAGCTCATTGTTCTACGTGTGAGCTCCCTGCTCGCTCTCGAACAGCGCGACCGCATAGCTGAACGCCTGCCAAACAGCATTAATTGTTAGTCTCTCAGGTGAAATAGCAAAATAATCACATAAGTGCGAATAAATACTTACGTCCATTAGTTTAATCATGGCAACTTGCTCGCTATGCTGTTGTACATAGGTCCTAGCCCGTTGACGATCTACGAGAGGCACAAAACTTTGCATGCCCTGCACCATGGCGGGCTGGCAGTCGGTCTTCACATAGCTGAAGCCCTCCGGATAGGCAATCCAGGGCGCCGACATCGAGGTTGACGCAGGTGCGAGCTCAGCTGCTGCCTGTGCCATAGCAGATGGCACGTTTGGCGAGCGCGCGGCTGCAGTTTGAACCGCTTGCACGGCTGGGTCCCCAAACTTGTTCTTTGCTGTTGGTATCCTCACGTGCACGCTTGCGTGCACTTAGGGCCACAGCTTCAACTCTCTGCTCGCTGCGAGGCCTGGACGCCAAGTTGGATCCACGGTGTGACGAGCTGTGAGATTGTGGCATTGGTGGCGGCCGCTCGTCAAACCGTGTCTGTCTATGTGAAGCGTTGCCCGCCGCGTGATCTTGGGAGCCCTGGGCTCGTTGACGCTGCTTTTCCAGTATACTGCTCATTTCCTCTGCACAAACAAATATAATAAGACTCAGATTGGCTAAAATTCGTACTATATGATAATATTATACCTTCAGTGAATTGGTTTGCCACGTCAACAAACCTAAACACGGCGAGCTGCTCCGAGGTAATCAGGGCTTCTAAGTCTATTAAATTCTCCCCCCTCGCATACTCTAACAGCTGATTCTTTAGGTCCGTGTCTCGAGGCAGCAGTTGAGGGTAATTCAAATGTGCGTTTGGCATGCACCATTCAGAGAGCCGAGTAGCGAGGTCATTGTTTATTCTCTCTATTCATGTATCACGAACAAAAACAAACTGCCTCTTCCACCTCGCCACTTTATTCCTAACGTTTTTGAAGAGCTGGCTCTTCTCCCTCCCAAAGAGGTAATACCACTTTGCACCTCTGGAGTTGGGACCCAACCGACATTGGAATAGCGACCCGAACACTATCGCCTTGGCCGGTATCTCCAACCTCGCACACAATAGCATAAAACTTATGATGAATCTTATGCTGTTGGGCGTCAACTGCGTCAGAGCCAGCTCGTAATCTGCCAAGAGATCAAATATCAGCCCGGGCAAGGGAAATCGCAGGTCAGCGTCAAAGTGATCCACGTACACTGGTATCCAAGTTGTCTGTGACACTGTGGAAGCCCTCTCATTCTGTGTACCAGCTCAAAGCAATATTGTTCTGGGGATTTGGTACGACCTCACCATCTCCTCCAGTTTCTTGTATCCACTTATTGAGGGTACACTGTCTGCCACTTCATGATGAAGTGCCGCCTTGAACCTAAATCCAGCAGGTAGGTCCTTGGGTGCCTTGCGAAAGTTGCTCAACCAACCTGCAATTATCCTACTCTCCCATTCTCCAACCACGGGCAGATTTGGCACATTGCCAACAACATCCCCTATGCCTTCCCCGTGGCTGGGTGTCTCTTCGGAAGATGAACTGTTGGATGGTGAAGCGTGGTGGTTGCCATCGTCGTCTCCGACGCTTGAACTGGCGCTTTTCTCTGTCGTTATTCTTTTCGGCAAGTCTGCAGGGCCGGCAGCACTACCATCACGATAGGCTCTACAAAAATAACCCCCTCCTCTTTCTCTTCTCTACCCTGGTTACCTCGCAGCTCTCTAAGTTCTCTAAAGAAGTCCATTTTTACCTTGGATTGGTGTGTACGTTGCTGTGTTCACGGTCCGGTGCTACGTTCTTCAAGCTGCAAACACTTTGCTACAGAGAATATCAGAAGTTCAAAAACGAGTGAAACAAAAAATGGCATAACTGTTCCCCTTTTCCATTTTGTTAAACAGCAATTCCAGCGTTAATGGCCGTACGCGTATTTCTGATGTGCCAGTTAACATCCTACACGTGGCAGGCGTTTAACCCCTTTTCATATAACGTCCACCGACTTTATCTGTCATGTCCCCTCAAATGTTGAGCCAGCATTTATGGTGGGGAAGGCAAAGAGATACAGGAGATCAATCGTATCTCCCCAAAGATTTGATTGATTCAGAAAAATCCCAAGATTCAGATCATAACAAGTTGATCTGCTCCTTGTCCCGTCCATGCTAGCTCGTCATAGTAACCACATTTATCAGATCATCACAAGAGTGACTTCTCGTCAAAGATCCTAGATCGTTACACGTTTGAGATCGCTCCACTTAACCTTGTTACACAGACGAGATTCCTTTTGCTTCAATGGGCTAAAATCATTTACTGCAGCTCGAGTGCGTCACCATGTTTATTCAGAAATCTCAAATCATAGTGGTTGAGATCACTTCATCTCAGCTCGTCCTCATGTTCGACTGAACTCTACCAAGTTGCTTCAGGACTTTCGACAATAATCAAGATTCGGGTCGTCACGTGTTAACTCGCGCTTATGTCAATGTAGACGAGCTCACCAAAATAAGGAATAACATTCTAAATTTGAGTGCATGGCTATTCACTAGGTGAGCCACTTCAGCTCGTTGATATATCGAGCCCACACTAGTGAGTTATGAATATCAGCTCGCCTGTATACTTTCAGGCTCATGAGCTCGTCTTACTCGTGTAAACTTTGTGGGGCCATCTGAAGCACAGATGGCCCAACTACAATCTGATCAAACATTCCCACTAAGGTACGTAACCAATGCAACCTTTCAGATCGGCTGTTGACGAGGTCGGTCACGAGCTGCAAAAGCTATCAATCCTATTCATCGGCTCGAACATTGGACCACAGACGCATCTAACCCAGTTCGTCAACCAAACATCGAAGGGGGAGTAATGTTGGAATAGGCCCAACATTTAGTTTGGGCTGTACATGATGGGCTTGGACTACCGCCCATTAGCCCAAAGTGAAGAAGTACCAGTACAACAAATACAAGCATACCCATGTGGGTAGCGCCACGTGGGCCAATGAGATGTTTACATGTGCAGACGCATGTCAGCATTTGGGGGCTATAAATACCCCCCAACTACCTTTGATGAAGATAATTAACTCTTCTACGTCTCTCTCTCTATAATTACTCTATGAGAGCATCTCTCTCTAGAATATTGAGTATTGCTGACTTGAGCGTCGGAGTGTTTTCTCTGAGGAAGCACCCTCGGGAATTTCAAGTGTGGAAGCAGCTGAAGACTTCAACAGTGTTAGATCACGAAGCTGCCCAAACAGTTTCCAAGAGGGGTTCACGACGCTAGTGAAACCCATAAGATTAATCCTTGTCTTGGTAAGAACTTTGCCAAGCAAACACAAACCCTCGTTATTCATCGATGAGTTCCATTCATGAACTAATGGAACTTCCCCTTCTTCTCTAACAGATGAATGCTATTCAAAAATAAACTAAGATCTTCGTCCACTGGATTTGTTTTGCCATTCGGAACCACCATGGAATTGGAAAT